CAGCTGGTAGTTTCGAACTGCTGACCTTGCGGTTTGCAACCCAATTCGTAACCACTATGCAGAGCTCCTTAGAGTTTCGTTATTTCAGCCTCAGAAAGCCTGCTTGATTTTAAAAGAGAGATAAGGAAGGAGAGGTCAAATTTCCTTGTCTGAGGGGATGTATCTTTCTCCTTCCTTCCCCAAATCTGCCTTGGTGGATGGCCTCCAGACACCCAGGAGAGAAACCTGGGGCTCACACCAGATTTCTGCCACTCCATCTCCCAATCCCACCCACTCTCTCACTGTACTCCTTCCAGCAATCACAGCTGCAAGAATGTTCCCCAGCAGTGCATGGAAGTTCCCCCTACAACCGCAGTTTAACCCCTCAATGGGCATTATCCAGCATTCCAATTTTGCTGATCTCATAGGTGTAAGGAGTCCCTGGGTAGTACAAATAGTTAATGTGCTCATCTGCTACCTGAGAAGTTGGAAGTTCAAGTCCACCCAACCTTCTGAAGTGCTTCGGAAGAAAGGCTCAACTATCTATCAGAAACACCACTCATTGAAAATGCTGTGGAGCACAGCTCTACTTTGTACACATGGGATTCCCATGGTAGGGACCTCCTCAATGACTACTTTAAAACAATTTTTTTAAAAGTGGTACTTACATTGTTTTCATTTAGGTCTTTTATGCCAACTGTGGAAGTGTTGTTGGGTAGCTGAAACCTCGTGATTCTAGTTCCTGGGCCTCCCTTTTATACACATCCCTGGTCCTCTAGGCTCTCATATCAGCCCAGGCAAGTCTCCTCACTGATCTCCACTGTTCTCCTCACCCTTTCACACAACCATCTATCTAGACACAGGCAGGAAGTTGTCCCTCCTCTACTGAAAGCCCTTCAAAAACTGCCCCGGCATCCTTAATAAATATGCAAACTCCTCTCTGTTCTTGGAGCCTTGCGCACTTGGCTCTAGCTGGCTTTCCAGTATCTCCTCCTGCACCATGCCCACTTTCCAACCCCGTTGTCAGCTCAGACCCTTCAGACCCCTGACCTCATCCTGCTTGCCTGACCATCCCTCAACTCACACTCTTTTTGCACACATCTGGAGTGCCCTCTCTGTTGACTCCCTCAAGATCTGGGATCAAATGTAGCCTTCCCTGAGGTCTGGCTAGCATGGCCTCCACCTTCTCTAAACTTGCGCTGTGCGGAATCCTTCCTGTCTTCCATTTTCCTCCCATGTGCTCTGTCTGGTCTCTCCCAGGGAACTGTGAGTTCCTCAAGGGCCTACTACAGCATCAATGTGTGATTGATTTATTCTTCCCCAATCCCAGAATTCCATACACACCGATCCATACTGCAGGCAAGAAGCCCAGATAGGAGTCAGTTCAATAGTTCAGTCCAAAGACATAGACGTCATGGGTGGGGAAGGAGAAATGGATGGAGAGCTAAAAGCTCATGAAGAATCTGTACATAGAACAAAAGGCAGTTTTTCAAACAGAACGTGGGAACACTGAATGGTTTCAAATTAAGAAGAGTGTGCGATAGGGTTGTATTCTTGCACCATACTAATTCAACCTGTATGCTGAGCAAATAATCTGAGAAGCTGGGTTATATGAAGAAAAACATGGCATCAAGAATGTAATATGTAGATGATACAACCTTGCTTGCTGAAAGTGAAGAGGACTTAAAACATTTACTGATGAAGATCAAAGAGCACACAGGCTTTGGTATGGATTGCATCTCAATGTAAAGAAAACAAAAATCCCCACCACTGGACCAATAAACAACATTCTTAGCAATGGAGAAAAGATTGAAGTTGTCAAGGACTTCATTCTTCTTGGATCAACTATCAACACTCGTGGAAGCAGCAGTCACGAGATCACACAACATATTGTATTAGGCAAATCTGCTGCACAAGACTTTTTTAAAGTGTTGAAGAGCAAAGATGTCAGTTTGAGGACTAAGGTGTGCCTGATCCAAGCCATGCTATTTTCAATAACCTCATATGCATGCGAAAGCTGGACAGCGAATAAGGAAAACCATAGAAGAACTGGTGCTTTTGAGCTATGGTGTTGGAGGAGAATATTGAAAGTACCATGGGCTGCCAATGGAACCAGCGGATCTGTGCTGGAAGAAGTGCAGTCAGAGTGTTCCTTGGAGGCCAAGATGGCCAAACTTCCTCTCTCATACTTGGGACATGTTGTCAGGAGGGACCAGTCACTGGAGAAGGATATCACGTTTGGTAAGGTGGAAGGTCAGAGAAAAAGAGGAAGACCCCCAGTGAGATGGAGTGGCCAGGTGGCAGCATCAATGGGCTCAAGCGTGGCAACAGTTGTGAGGTTAGCCCAGGATTGGACAGTGTTTTGTTCTGTTGTGTATAGGGTTGCTATGAGTTGGTACCAACTCAAAGACACCTAACAACAGCAACAACAGAGCATTCATTGACTAGTTGACCATGAGGATTAAGGAGGAAGAGAAATTGGAGACAAATTCCAAGCTCTTAACTGTGGTGGCTTTCTGAATGGGAACCAGGAGGAGCTAGGGACAGAGTTTGGCTTAGACCTGTTTGTTAGAGTGACTGATGGTTGATCAACAGAGTTGCTGAGCAGACAGATATGTCAGGTGGAGCTGGAAATCTCAGAGTCCACAGCTGAGGGAGCATATGGCTGTGGGCTGCACAAGATTGCCCAGAGAGGCAAAATGGCAACAAACCCTGAGGAGACCGGCAAGCAATAAGTGGCTGAGGAAGACTGAAAAGAGTCACTGATGTTGGGTAAGAGGATGATGTCTTGAGAGCCATGTGAGGAAAATGTCTGTGAGTGGATGACCCATAAGAGTCAGAGTCTGTGAGAGGTCATGAACGCTAAGGACAGAAGCATGTCCATTTCAGTCTGCTGTCATATTCGCCTCCTCCCTTCTCTCCTCAGCTCTTTCCTTCCTCCACACCCCTCTATCCCCAGAGAGCTCAAACCTGAGGCTGAGCCAATCTAAGGTAGGCCCAACTCCCTCAGGAAGCAGCCATCTTGCCTGCTAAACAGGCCATACCACAGCCCTTTCAGTCCTCTGAGGAATTCTGTAATGAGAGCCCATCAGCTCATGTTTGTCTTCCCAAGGAGCCCCTTCATTTTTATTTCTCCAGTGGCCAGCACTGAAGGTGGATACTAACAACATGTCCCCTACACCTGGGAATCAGACCTCTACCGGTACTCTTTCTGGTTGTTTCTGTTTCTGTCACCTCCTGTTTTTGCTCTATACCAATTAAAATAAAAATTCCAACAAGACAAACAGAAATGGAATTTGGTTTTTGAATTGGGTATCTGTGTACCTGGAACAGTGGTGACCATGCTTCAGAGGGCTCTGAATTGAGGGTGGGGCTAAGACTGTGGGGAGAGCTTTGAGTAATAGAAGAACACTGTGTGTTGTGTGTGTGTGTATGGCGGGTGGGGTCTGTTTAATTCTCCAGACCATGATGCACCTTTAAAGGGTGCTTTGCACAGTCTCCAACACCCAGAGGGGGGATGATGAAGGAGGATGAAAAGGGGGAGACAGAGGAAGAGAAGACTCTGGGTGGAGCAGCAGGCCTCATTTCACCTCCCCTATCTAGGAGTTATAATCTTGTATCTAAAAAACCAAAGAGCCCCTTAGCCCCCACCCCATCTGCCTAAGTCCTGCACCTAGGCACCCCCTGCTTGGGCCTCAATAGACACAGTGACCCGCACGGAGCCGCAGTTTGACCTCAAGTCCCACTCCTGACTGGCATTGTACTCCAGACCTGGGATTCCTGAGTCCTGCCGAGGAGACAGCTGGATGTTGAGCCAGCGGCACCGGGCCTCGTCACAGGCCAGCACCACTGTACCCTCGGGGTTACTATAGGTGCACGAGCTTCCTGCTGCCCTTTCCTTTGCCACTATATCCCAGCTGCTCCCTGGCTCCTGTTCATCTGGCCCTGGGGCCTGGAAGCCCAAGCGGTCCCTGGTGACAGGGCACACCAGCTGCTTCTCTTCCAAGGCGGGTACCACCTGGCCCTTCAGGTACGCAGGTCCAGCGCAGTAGGTCTGGATGTTGAAGAGCCGGTCACTGTACTGCCGCAGCCAGCTGAAGAGGTAGGCCAGGTGACAGTCACACTGCCAGGGGTTGCCATGCAGGGCGACGTTGAACAAGTTGTAGTTGGTTTCAAAGATGCCCTCCGGGAGCGTAGTAAGGAAGTTCCTGGAGAGGCTGAGCAGCTCCAGCCCAGACAGGTTCTGAAAGAGGGTCGGGTGCAAGGTCGTCAGGTTGTTGCTGCCCAGGTAGAGCCTGACCAGCATCTTCAGGTCCCTGAAGACTCCTGCTGGGAGGTGGGTGATGGCATTGTGGGAGAGTGTGAGGGAGCTGAGGTTGGACAGGCTGGCAAAGGCACCCTCAGCAATGGTCTCCAGCTGGTTGTGGGACAGGGATAGCCCTTCCAGGCTCAGGGTCTGAGCAAAGAGGCCAGCGGACAATGTCTGTAGCATGTTGCCCTGCAAGCTCAGGAAAGTAAGATTTCCCAGGGAGGAGAAGATGGAGAGGGGCAGGTGATCAATGGCATTCCGATGCAGCCAGAGCTTCTCCAGGCAGAAGAGCTGCGAGAACACCTCAGAGGGCAGCTGTGATAGCGAGTTACCGTCTAGGAAGAGCTCCTGCAGGCTGCCCAGCTTGCCAAACACACCCTGGGGCAGGACAGAGAGGTCGTTGTTGCTCAGCTTCAGAGTCTGCAGGCTGATGAGGGGGTTGAACAACTGCTCAGGGAGCTGACTCAGACGATTCTGAGCCAGGTTGAGGACCTTCAAACGTCCCAGAGGATGGAAGAGTCTTCCGGGCAGTGTCTGGAGCTGGTTACCCTGCAACTGGAGGGAGACCAGAGCAGCCATGTGCTGAAAGAGGCCCTCAGGCAGGACCTCCAGCAGATCAAAGTTGAGGGTCAGCTTGCTCAGAGAGTTCAGGCTGGAGAAAATGCTGGCACTGAGGTTGGAGAAGGCACTGCCAGTGATTTCCAGGTCCTCAAGCCTGGGCAGCCCCCCAAAGGCATCCGGGCTAAAGTGGTAGGCCTGGGTGTTGAGGAAGACCACCTTGGTTAGGCTGGGGCTGCCGCTGAAGGCCCTGGTTCCCACAGTGGAGAACGAGGTCTCCACAAAGACGAGGCTTGTGGTGTGGAGTGGAATATCCAGTGGTACTGCGGTCAGCTCCTCTTCTGAGCAGAACACCTCGTGGGTGATGCAGTCACAGCCCTCAGGGCAGGGCTGGGTGAACCTGGCCAGGAGCAGAAGGGAGGCCCAGCATAGCCAAGCTGCAGGATGCATCTCCTAGATCAAGTCGAAAAGTCAAGAAAACAGAAAAGGAACCTTAACAACAGCAGTGTGGTACAATGGCCAGAAGTCTGGACAATGAGCCAGAAGATGAAGCTGACTGCCCCCAAGGGGCTGTCAGTGACTGGCAGTTTTGATAGCTCTTTTTCATACCACCTCACAGCAGCCTTGCAAGATAGATGAGGTCAGTTTTCTCACTTCCATAGGACAAGGAGGGCATCTCAGGGCCTGTCCACAGTCACCCTGCAAGTTAGTGTCAGTGGAAGGACCAAGACCCAGCTTTCCTGGACTTTCTATGGAGAACGAAGTGGAAATGAGATACTAAGACAGGTATAAAAGGAGATCCTGGCCATTGTGAGTTTTTCTAAACATAATATATAAAATAAGTCTCTGGGTGATACAGTTTAGTGTTGGCAGTCCAAACCTACCAGCTGTTCCTTGGAAACCCTGTGCAGGGCTGTTATGAGTCAGAACCGACTCCATGGCACATAACAGGAACAAAAACCAGAGGTGTCTTGGAAAAATGACCTGGCAATCTTCTGAAAAATCAGCCACTGAAAACTATGGAGCACGGTTCTACTCTGACACACATGACGTCACCATGGATTGGAGTTGACTAGATGACAGCTGGAGCCTGGGATGGCGCTGTAAGATCAGCACTGGACTATTAACCATAAGGTTGACTATTCAAATCCACCAACTGCTCCTTAAAAACTCTATACCAGGTTGGTATGAGTTGGAACTAACTCAACAGCACTTACCAACAACAACAGATGGCAACTGGAGTCCTAGTGTAGTGCTGTAGGATAAGCACTGGAGTGCTAACCACCGCGTCGGTGGTTCAAACCCACCAGCCACTCCATGGAAACCGCATACTGGCTCGCCATGAGTCAGAACTGACTGAACAGGACTTACCAACAACAGATGGCAACTAGTTACTGCTCTATATAAAATTGCTGTGCTTATCGTTATGTGCCATGGAGTCAGTTCTGACTCATAGCGACCCTGGATAGGGTTTTCGAGGCTTTACGTTTTCGTGGGTTCAGAAAGTCTCTTTCTCTGGAGAAACTGCTAACTGTAAGGCTCAATCGCAGACCTTGTGGTTCACAGTCCAGTGTTTATTGTATGGAACCACCACGCTCCATATGTGAGTCCTGCGTTGGGAATTCCTAAATTGTAACTCTTCCTGAGTTTCCAACTCTTAGCACACTGCAGAACCTAACTGGGTAGCCTGCAAAACCTAAGCAGAGCAAAGGCAAGAAGTGACTGGCTAATAAGGTTTCAAGAGGGAGCCTAGATCCAGAGGGCGCTGAGGAAGGTAGACTCTCCACGGAGTATTATCTAATCTGTTTGGGTGGGGCTGATGAAAGGAGATGGGGATAGGTCTCTTGTGATACAAAAGTGAATAATTGCTATCAGGACTGACTGTGAGTGTTGGAAATGTAAAGGTAGACATTTTGTAGCAAAAGGAGGGGAGTGGTTGACTTTGCAGTCCAGGAAAGGAGGTCCCTGGGACCATCAAAGGAGAAGAGCGGAGTGAGGGACCCTACCCAGAGAAACAGTGAGGCCAGAGATGAAGGCAGAGACCATAACGTGGAGAGATGGACCGGCTGGGGACTCTAGATCCAGAGAGGGAGAGGGGCTATGTGCTGACGGGGGGGGGGGAGGGGGTAGGCTTGCAGGGGTACAGGGGGCAGGATTGCAGGGTATACCCTTTGGTTGGTTGATGATGCATGGAGGGGATTGTAACCATGGCAATGAAACGATATGTGATAAGATGAAAGTAAAGCTAATGTTCTCCCACGTAACCTATCACATAATTCACAATAAAACATTTTTTTTAAAAGCCTAAGCAGAGCTCCCTGACCAAGACTACCAATTTTAGTTTCTTACCACTCTCTCTTCACACCGCCCTCTGAGGGTGAGTACAGATGCAGGAAAAAGATAAGGTGGCTCTTTTCTTGAAATGAGTCCACAGGCTCCTGAATATTGCTGCCAAAATTGCTCCCCTCTGCCCAGCCCCCACCACAGCCCAGTGGAGCACACTGCAACATTTCAACTGGTGCAGAGGGGAGGGTCTTGTCTCTAGGAGTCTGCAGACTAATAGATATTTAAATAAGGGAAGAGAGCCAAGTATTTTGCTAAATTATAATAAAACAACAACAAGGCCTGCTAACATCTACCCATCAGTCACAAACTGGAGATACCACTTTGTTGTTGTTGTTGTTAAGTGCCATCGAGTCGGTTCCGACCCATAGCGACCCTGTACAGGGTTTCCGAGGGTGTAAATCTTTACGGGAGTAGAAAGCCTCATCTTTCTCCCGCGGAGCTGCTGGTAGTTTCAAACCGCTGACCTTAAGGTTCGCAGCCCGATTCGTAACCACTACGATACCACTTACAGGTGTGTAATGTTTACTCTTTTTTGTAGATGAGCTAGTAGCCAACATTTATGACAGGTTCAGTGGCAGAATGCTCACCTTCCCTGATGGAGACCCAGGTTCAATTCCCAGGCAATGTTCAGCTGCCAGCCACCACCTATTAGTGGACATTTGTGCATTGCTATCATGTGTGGATTACTCATAAGTAAGACAAGCGTGGGCTTATTTGTGCTTGGTGTGGCACTATAGGATAAACACAGGACTGTTGCTTGGTATGGTACTGTAGGATAAATATAGGATTGATAACCTCAAGGTTAACAGTTCAAATCCACCAGTCAATCCTCAGAAACCCTACACAAGGTCTCTATGAGACAGAATCGATTCAACGGCACTTAAGGACAACAACAACTATACAGTGACTAAAGTGGTAAAACCCATGTGAAAATGTTCGCTACAGATCAGTGAGTAAGCACAAATAAGCCCATGCTTACCTTGCTCACTGGGTACTCCGTCACTATCAGAGAAATAACTTTGAAAAGAGGCTTTAATGCTATAGGAAAGTGCAGGAGGGTTGGACGACAGACAGACAGATGCCAGCTGTATCCAGAAGCAGAGCAGATTTCAGCAGAGCTCCCAGAGTAAGACTAGGAACTGCTCCTAAAAATCAGTCAGTGAAAGTCCTATGGAGCACAATGGCCCAAGTCAGTGTGCATGGGATTGCTGTGGTACTAACAACAAACATTTTAAAATTGAGAAATGTCACATTGTTATTGTTAAGTGCCAGTAAGTCAGTTTACACTCATAGAGACCCTGTTTTGACTCACAGCGACTCGTAACCAACCTTGTGGTTAGCAGTCCAGTGCTTATACTACAGTGCCACACCATTAGAGAGGTGTGCCCACTCCAGATCCCCACTGCTCCCCCACTTCATTCATTGATGGGACTTGTGATGGCTCCAATTCCAGGCCCATCCAATCACTTGCTGGCTCTGTGACCTTAGTCATGTTCCTTAATCTGTTTGTGCCTCAATTTCCTTATCTGTAAAATGGAGATAATAATGGTGTCTGCATAATTAGAGTAATTGTGAGGATCAAATGACTAAATATAGATGAATTTTTTAGACCGGCATCTGACATGGAGTAAGCAACACACTAAGTATGTTAACCATTATTATTGAAGGTTATAAGCCACCTATTTGAACACATACAAGTAAGAAAATCAAAATGTCTTTAAGTAGAATACATTTGGCTTTACAAAACAAAACAAAAAAACCGTGTCACAACATAATCCTAATTATTTTCAAATTACCCCTACCTATAAGAAAGGGGTCCCTGTCAGGGGAATCTTGGCCCTGCCTCTCTCTACTGGCTGTCTCGCTGCTGCCCTCTACTGGCTAGCGCTTTCATGAAATTTCAGCGTCCAGCTGAAAGTCCCCCAGGCAAAAAAGTCTCCCACGCCATGCAAACACCTGGCTTACAAAAAAACCTTTAATCCTCCTCCCACTCAGATACTAACTCTGAGTTTTCCCTGTTTTTGTTTGTTTTTTTCTTTTTAATCAATGAAGAGGGGACAATTTCTTCCCAAACAAACGCATACCTCCCTGAGCCTTCCCCTGATGTATCTTTCACAATAATAGCAGCTAAACTGGGCTCAGAGCTTGGTTCCTGCAAGGACTACCTCCAGGAAATCATCCTTGATATTTAAAGCAATGGGTGCCTCAAGACCAGTGGCTCCAGAGTTCAAGTTGAGCATGAGACTGCTTATTCTCTTGAGAGTCCATGCATAGAAGACAGATAAAAAGCAGAGCTGCTCTGGCTGAAGAGGAATGTTGCACCTCAGATCTGCCACTACCACCTGGGCCACCCCTGAGACTCTCAAGGGGTACTGAGGAAAGCCTTTTCTGACCCCAGAACTGAGGCATCTGAAGTAGGATTCTCCGTCTTATCACTTAGCATAAGCCAAACCACCAGTTGGCACTATTGCTGTTAAATGTCGTCAAGTCGGTTCCAACTCATGTGTAGGGTTTCTGAGGAGTGACTGGTAGGTTTGAACCGCTGACCTTGCTGTTAGCAGTCCAGCGCTTATCCTACAGAACCACATCAGAACCCCACCAGAAACCACTGACTGAATCTAAATGAAGGCGAGCCCTGGTGTCAGAATAGAACTACGTTCCATAAATGATATTTTAAGACGTAGATCACCAGACCTTTATTCTGAAGTACCTCTGTTTTTGGTAAGTGTCATCATGTCAGTTCCAACCCATAGCGATCTTGTGCAGGGTTTCTGAAGAGCAGCTGGTGTGCCTGAACCACCTATCTTGTGGTTCAAACTGACCTTGCAGTCCAGCTCATTGTGCTTCAGTGCCACGCCAGCACCTCTAAGTGGACTCAAACCACTAACCTTTTGCTTAGCAGTTGAGCTCATTAGCTATTTGCATCACCCAGGAGCCCAGAAGGCACAGTGGTAAAGCACTTGACTGCTAACTTTGGTGAGTAGTGTCTGGCGTCTTAAAAGCTTGTGAGCAGTCATCTATGTTGCAACCAACTATTGATCTCTCCTTATCCAGAGTAAAGAAGAGTGAAGAAAATTGACAATGTATAGAAACAATTAGTCCAG